TTGGTTTAAAAGAAGAAGATGCAATAGACTAGGATGAAGCACAAAAGCATGCTTTGCTTAATAATAAAGTTATTTTAACACCTGGCTCTGAAAGGCAACAGATGTTCTTATCAATTGTTCAGTATCTCAAGAAAAAGCTCAGAAACTGTCCATAACCAGCCCACTGCCAATCACATGATGCAAAGCTAGTCTGATTTGTGCAGGAGTGTCGCTCATAAAGTATTTTAGTCGTGTTGAGGATTAAATAAGGCATAATAATTCAAGGATATTTATATTGTTGTGATCTACTGATGCCTTCAGAGTACCGTATTTTTGGGATTATAAGCCGCTACTTTTTTCTTACGGTTTGAACCGTGCGGCTCGTCGCCCAGAGCGGCTTTTTCTTCAACCAACAGGGGGCTCTTTAGCAGGAAGTGAATCACTGCAAGTCATAATTGGAAATCAGAGAAGAAAGTATAGTCCGACACGGCTTATATTTACGTTTCTTGTTTATTTCAAAACATTTGCAGGTGCGATTTATAGTATGGCGCACCCTATAGTCCGGAAAATACAGTAATCTTCAGACAGAGCCGTGCTGGTTTACCACCACAACCTAAACGGTTGCTATACGGAAGGACGGATCCATTCCGCTGTTTCATGCTGTTTACACATTTCTGAACCCACCATTTGAAAGTTGCAGCAGAAAACAAGATTAGACATTGCATTGCATCTGGTATTGTGATATTTTATTGAGTCTGTACAAACCGTAGCCTCTTTGCTGCTCTTTCTTTACTACCAGGCCACCCAGTGAGGTTTTCTGTCGCTCCAGAAACAACCGACCCAGAATAGCGATCTGCTTTTATAAAAACATTTTGTTGGAAGAGTTTTAGTGATTGAAAGATCGACCAAATAACTCTGACTGCAATGTTTTATGTTTTTACTTACCTCCATGCTTTTATCTTAGGAAAAAACAAAATTTGACCTCGTATTTAGACTTCAAGTTCACCTAAATTACTTCTAGCTTGAGTGGATTTGCTTTATAAAATCACCTGAGACTTTTAGCTGTGAAGCAGATATGTTCTTCTTCAACATAAAACCTGCATAGTTTACATATAGTTTATGTGGTTTTATTTAATCTCCGAGTTTGTGTGTGTGTGTTTTTTTTACCCAATTTGACGTTTTTTTTTATCGTTTTCGACTGATCTTGTCAAGCGTGGGTCAAGGTCGCTGAAGAAAAGCTGCACTAAACCGATTATCTCCTCTCAATCACCCTCTAACCTTATCTTTACTGCCGTGTTGTTCTGGGAGATTGCAGCTTAAAATGCAAAGCCATTAAGTTGAATTACCTAAAAAACACGCTCAGATTGATGCTGGCGATGTCACTGTTCTTCGCTGTAAAACGGAGCCCTCTAAATCCTTCGCTCGCTCAATCCAACACTCTTAAAGGTCTGTGTGGCCTGATAGGGCTCGCGGAGCTCATAAAAGGATGAACATTTTTCAAAAAAATCAAGACGATAACTGTTACCTTGCAGATAATAGCGATAGGAGTTGGACTATGTGCTCAAAACTCCCCATTTTTCTTCGGATCTCGATTTTTCCCGTCCGTCGTGTGGCGGGGATTCCTCAAAGATTTCATAATGCGCTTCGATTTTCTCCCTCAAAATGTAAAAAAAAAAAATCCTTCTTGTGACCACCATCCGAAGTCCTTTTGGATGGTGCGCGGCAAATTTTCGAAGCATATGTTTCCTATATCCATCACCTGGAAACAGTGAATGAGTCAGAGTGTAAGTTTAGATCTGTGCAGTGGGGGTAGTCTCCAAAGCGGGCCAAGCGTTTGCTCTTTTAACATGGCATTAAACTGTCCTCCATGTTTCCTCTGAACCCTTTCTTCTACTGTCTTGTTTTCCCTTCATCTACGTACATTAAAGCCCTCATCTGTTATCGCAACGTTTCACAAATGGAGATGTAGGTGATGACGCTGCTGCGGTGTCTCCGCCACAGGTAAACCGCTGTGTTTCAGACATTTACCACCCCATCACAAATTACTTGCTTTCCCTAGAGCATCTTGGCTCTTTCACAGTAATGACTGAGAGGACAATAAGCAGCTTCTTCCACAGGATCATAAAGTCATTGAAACCCCGCAAACTGCACACCATCTGCACCGTTTACAAGTCGCATCGCTCAGTTCTGAACCTTGTGTTGCCCTTCTTGAATTTATGTGCAAGCTTTTCAACTTCTTCTTAACAATACAACCATGTACCTAATGTAGTTTATTGAGATTAAATAAAAATCTGAAAAATGTAGCATTCACTTGAGTTCAGCCCTCTGGGTCATTCCCCCCCCCCATTTTTCTTCATTTTCCCATCCACTTCATAATCACGCACCACATTGTGTTCATTTGTCACAGAAAATCCCCAGAAAAATCCGTCGAGGTTTTGAGGTTGCATGAAAAGTTCAACGGGGTAACAAACGGCTTGTTGGCGAGTTGTGCTCTCAACTTGCAAGCCATCTTCAGATTCTCTCAATACCCAAACGAAATGTTAGCTCGCTAATTATGTTCTATGAAGCCATTTCTCCAGAACTGACTTACAGTGGCAGCAGATCTTTTATGGAGTAAATAGACTGGAGATTTAACTCTAAGATGGTGATTAATTATGCATGGCGGGGGGATGTAAGCCGTTTTTATTCCCTATCTGCAGTCTAATGAATGCAAGTTTTATTTTGTATGTTTTTATTTGGTCATGACTAAATTCAGCTGAACTGTTTGAAATCGTGAAGCACTGAGAAGAGCCAGACTTCAATAGAAATGTTTAAACCTGGTTTTAGATGTCCTGACTTTTAGTCCCTGGTGTGGGCGAAGTTTCAAACACACCCTGTAATTAAATGAGGAAAAAAAAAAAAATTCAACAATTTCGGTTTCTCCAATAATAAAAATGACCCAATATATGGATAATCAGCAATACATGCATGTGCTTTATAGGCAGAGTTTCATTAATCATTAATGTTATTGCTTGGGGCAGTTTTACACATGAATAACGCCACTGTAATATAAAATACCACTGAGGTTTTTCTGGCTATGAGATGAGAGGAGAATGAAGAGGTTCGGCTGTAACGAGGGGATATTTGCCAATATCTGACCCAGGCCTCACACACACACTCACACACACACACCATCATAAATGTAGGCTTGTGTTACATGAATGTTTAAGCGGCACTCTTATTGATACAGATGTATTGGTCATTAAGCCGGTTAGATTTGACGTCTCAGCTCTGCCGCAGCCAAAGAAAATAGCAGCATTGCTTTGCTGCAGAAATTTTCCCGTCCGTTTGAAGAGAAGGAGCCACACTCTGGTCTTTTCAGATTACCATTTCACATATATTATAATCTGAGTTGTTTTGTAGGTGTTTGACTTCAAACACGCTTAGAAGTGTCAAATTGCAAACATCTCTCCGTGGTACTCTCCACCACATTGGACTGGAGCAGGGATTGGGGGGAAGGCATCGGGTGGAGCTCTATGTAGCACTCTCCCCGTGACCCCCGCCTTCTTGAGCCCCGTCCTGCATCTCAGTTTAAGAGTTTAGGGCATTGGGATTGGGGTGGGGTAGACTCTGCAGTTGGGTCTTCCACACTCCACCCACAAACACAATCTAGTTCACTTTATGGATGCATATTTACATTCATAGCAGCATTAAAACGGACACAAATCCAATCACCCTGGGGGGGACGGGCACGGCTCTCTTATGGTAACGCCCCGCTGCACCTGCTCTAGACTGGAGGTGTTGGGGTCGGTATATCTTGAGATATAAATTTTTCCAAAATTCTTTCAGTCTGAATGACAATCTAATTTCTTGAGTTGTCTTGAAAAGTGTGGAAAAGTTTAGGATTTGCTGAAATAATTGGCCAAGTCTGGAGAAGAATGGAAAAATATTTTCAATGCATCTGGAAAATGTTTGATTTTCCAGACCTCTTTCGATTTCCTACCAAGTAAGGAAATGGAAACACTAAATAATAATATAATATAAAGCAGCAGTGCTTTAGCGATGGCTAAGAGTTTGCACCTTAATTTCTGAACTTTTAAAACTCGTTTAAAACTCAGCCGATGAAGAGGGGGAAAAATAAGTCTCTTTTCATCAGGCCAATAAATTCATTCATACCTTCGATGTTCTGTGGTCATAATCCATAATCATATTTTCACTTGGCTTCTGTAATCTGTGGTCCCTGTTGACCAGGTGATTTTTGTAAATCCCACAGATTCTATTGGCTCTGATGGATTTGAGGATTCCCCATGAGGCGATTTGTGTTTCTGCATGAACTAATGATATTAACATGCCTAATAATTTATTGCTGTATCCAGAACGGTACGTTTTTTATCGTCCGATACATTGATGATTTGTTTTTTTATTCGGAGGACTGTATTTATTTGTTTTAAATGACAAATCTTCATTAGCCTAATCTCTCTATTTTTACATTTTTCAGACAGCTATTGTGCAATATGAACTGAATCAGTTTCAACAATATGATGTGGCTGAAAAAAATAATTCAAATTTGTCGAATTGCAAAAATACAATTTTTTGCCTGAAATATTTGTCAAAATTAAACTTTTGAACTTGTTCTTGGTCTCAGAAGAACTTGTCTTCACGCACACTTTTACTGGCATTTCTTATTTACCTGCGCTTTTTAGGAATGATATGATGCTGTTGAGTTTTGAAACATTGCCATAAATCTCTATGGAAAAGTAATATTCACAAAATGTGCATCGCTGACTCTGAATCTAGTAATTTGTCCTTGAAAATCCAAGAGTTGCAGATTGTGAAGTGGAAGAATTTGGCCTTCAACTCTCCCGTAATTGGAAAATATTACACCAATAACTGGTTTCATCATTTGTGGAACCTACAGATAAGATTGGAGTTATCATTTAATTACCTAAAGGTTTGTATTTTGTTATCCAGCGTCCAAAAGTCTTTTATCGTGGTCACAAAATCTTTACTATTTTCTCCTTCCTTATTCGTGTTTCTTTCAGTTGGAGGCGGAGTTGGCGTTGTGTGAGAAGGAGGGGGCGGAGCTCCAGGAGTATGCCAATCAGGTCCTGCAGCAGATCGCCGACCGGTGCCCGGACATTTTGGAACAAGTCGTCAATGCCTTGGAGGACAGCTGCTGACTGACCTTTGCACACACACGCTCACAGACTGACTGAAAAAATACAAATAAAATAAAAATCACACTCGTTTGCATGCAAAAGTCAAACATTGAGCGCAAACCCGCGGGAAAAAAAATCTGATAAAATACAAAATCACATCTGCAAGCCGCCACAATCCTCATGAAACGGAAAGAAAACCAATGTTGAAGAAGCTCAACTGTGCTTTAGTTGTTCTAATTTGAGAGGAATGTCAATGTTACATCACTACAGAAAAATACTAGCTAGCTGAAGGAAATTATGTCCCTTGGTCGGTTTAAAGTGCTTTATTGGCAGATTAGATCAGAATAGATATATTTTTCTAACTCTTCTTAGAAAGGAAGCACTTCTGCTGCACTGACCATCTTGTAAGTCCTGGCTGGTGGCTGCAGTTCCACTCTGGGAAAATGGTTTCAACCTGAGAAATCCATGTTAAAAAAAAAAAGGAAAAAGTTATTTGGGCTTGCCAGGCTGCTTCTGATGCTCGACTTGCACGTTGTTGCCACAATTTTTTTTTGATCAGTTTGAGTGTGTTTATTTCAGCTGCCTTTCGCTATTTGCATCATTTGCTGCTATCTTTTTTAAACTTTTAGTCAGTTTTTGTTTCTTTCTCTGCAGGTGTTTGATAAAAAAAAATTAAAAAATGTCTTCAGTACCTTCGACGCCCCTGGTAAGGATTGATGAAAACGCTTCAAAACAAATGAGGGTTTGTTTTTTGCAGTAATATATATATTTTTTCTGTTCTGCCTTTTGTACTTTGTACGCCCCTCTTCTGCTCATTTGACAAAACTTAGTCCTCTAATGCAATGCCACAAGGTAGAAGCATCTGGAGATGGCTTTGGCTCTTCATTTTGTTACAATGTTATAAAGGCAACTTGCTCTAGCAGAGAGACTTTAGATTTTAGTTACGTTTTTGTAATTCCAAGCATTCGTGATGCCGTGCAGCCTTAGCGAGGTTCCCAGGGCCTTTGGAGGAGAAAACAGCATCATTGGTCCTTTGCGAATTTAATTGTTTGGTGGCAAATCTAATAACTCAATCACACCACCAGATTAAACCTGGATTAAAACAAAGTTATAGTTATTTTAAAAGTTTCAGCTACTTTAAATATTGGCATGTAGCTATTATATGTGACTTTTGAAGATCAAAATGCATATGCCTTAATAAGATTTTGTGCTTATTTTGTTTTTGAACAGTAAATAAGAAAGCCGAGCTTAAATCTAACTAAAAAAGGTCTCAGTTAGATTTATTTTCTTGGTAAAGTTAATTTTTTTTTTTTTTTTAAGTTTTTCTCTTGCTTCAAAATGAGATTTTGTGAAAAGCCGTTTTTATCCTTCCCTACCAGGGGTCCGATTAAACGTGGAAGGTTTTCTACTTTCCTGTAAGTTGCTGTGTAAATTGTCAAGGAGAACCTTTGATTAACGTCCCGGCGTTTCAGTTCGCCAAACCCAAAACAACAATGAATCTCGCAACAGAACCTTTACTCAAACACTCGGATGTGCTGTGAACGTGGATCGCTTCTGTGAAAACGTCGTCTTTGGTTCAGTTGCGTCGTCCAGACTGAAATCAGGTTGACTTCAAATAATTCCTCCGCATATCTTCCTCATGACTGTCCCTTTAGAGTTCATAAGAGGTCAAATCGTTTCTGATACGAGAAGTAAGTGTTATATATAAATACAGATATATTTTTTTCTTGTTTCTTTTGAAAGTATGCATCAGAGTATTATATCTTGGTTGGTCTGCTTCACATGGTGTCAAACTCTTGTCATTTTGTGAATAATTGGATGTTTGTTAGACTTTGTTTCCACCGGGAAGACTTTTCAAAGTTCCTGTTGAGTTCAACACTGACAGTATTAGCATGGTCCAGAGGGGCAGATTATTTCAAGCAAACGTTATTTTCCTTCTTTTGAATCAGCTGTGTGAGTTTCGAGGCTGTACCTTGTCTGTCTCGAGGTTTTCTTTTAAAACGTCACCTGGTTGGACATGAAGCTGGAAGACTTGGATTTATGACGCATCCTCAAATCTAACTGGTTTTGAAGGTTCTGGCTTTTGGACTCTGAGCTGATTTATATGAACTAAAGTCGGCCCTTGGCTTCTTAAATGAAACATTTATTGATCCCACAGATTTTATGGATGGTCTAAAAACCCATGTGTGTCTAATTTCAGAGACCCAGTCAGGTTTGAGCTCGTGTGTAAATTCCTTCTTCTGTTTTCTGTTTTTTTTTCTTTTTTCACTGATTCTGTCCATTACTGGGAAGGATGCTGACTGGAATTCACTTTGAACTTGTGGATCGAAAGATCAAAATGTGAGAGAGTGAAATAAATTAATGCTTTATCTTCACTTTTGCTTTGCGCTCTGTCTGTTTTTGTAGTTTCGACTCTTCCTTTACAGTTTGTTTTGACATAAAATGATGACGGGCTCCGTTTAGTCTGCATGTGGAAGAAAATGGAGGAGGCAAAAGGAAACAAGAGGCTGAAGTCAGCAAGGAAAGGTAAGTGGCATTAGGCATTTGTGGAGAATCTCTCTGGGAATTTCAAAGATTTATTTGAGCCTTTCCCTTTGTGAACTGATAAATCAAGAAACTTCTGATTTCAGCAATTTTTGAAAAGCAGAATTTGAGGCACAACTTTTTTTTTTTACCTCCTCACATATTTACATAAATCTAACTGTAACTTTCATTGATGTAAGTAAATATTTGACCGCAGATCATTGAAATTGATTGCTTTCCAACTTGTAAGAACAAAAGAAACAGTTTGTCTCGAATTATTGAAGCTGAATATTTGCAACTTTAATACGTGTGTGTGTGTGTGTGTGTGTGTGTGTGTGTCAATCTGTCCTGTTGGAAGAACCAGTTTGGAGCTTGTTTGAGTCATTTGACCCAAACCGTCGCCTTCAGAGGACAGTCAATTGGTTAAACCCGGGAATGTCAGACTGCAGGTGTTTTCAGTACTGAAAATGGAAAAAAAGGGTCAAATTAATTGTGATGTAGAGCTAATGAGCTTCAGCAGCTGAGCATGTGGGTTATTCAAGCACACTGAATGCTGCTTTGTCAAAATCCAATGAAAATAGAAGTGCGCAGTACAAGCTGTACCAGATGATTCCTGACCAGGAGCAGCAGTTTGCTGCAAACTATCTTAGCTGCTCTCCAGTGGTATATTTGAAAACCGGAGGGATTTGCTAACTGATGTTCTCGGTTAGGAGGCCATCTTTCATTATTACTACAACCTAATAATATATTTCTTTCTTTCTGGGACTGTCAAACACTGTAACATTATGTTCACTAAATGAGATTACAGTGGACCCTTGGTATTAGGTAGGATTGTGATCCAAAGCCACCCACGAATACCTAAAAAAAGATCCTCATATCTGTCCAAAGACCAAATATACCTTTATGTGCATTAATACTGTCTTTCTTACTTCCACTTCAGGGGTAAAGCAAAGGAAAATGAATTAAATGTTTAATTTACAGAGCACCAAAGTGGAAATAATCATTGTTTTTTTTATTTGTATATATTAGCAATTAATATGTCTTTTTTTGTTTTGTAAGGTAGCCATATCGGATTTTGAGCTCTGAGTTGGTCAGTCATGTCCAGCTTTCCCATCTGTAAGTCCAGCTTGTCTGATTCTGAATAAATATAAATGGCGGTGGCTGTAAATGAAGATGGACTCATAAAGAAGGATCACCATCCCAATTCCTTTTTATTTCACATCAAATCAACAGCTAGATTTTCAAAACCTGAACTCGGTTTGTGTTGTTTTTTGTTTTGGGTTTTTTATAACAGAAAACTCGTCCAAAACACACATCAGAACTGGCTTTGGTATGGATAAAACATCAAGCTTCTGGGATGACCGCAACCTCAGCTCTATTAAAACTTTTATGAACACCAGCGCCGTATGTAGCTCAGCATAATATCGTATCCTCTCCTCTGGTTTCCACTCGCCTCCTCCATTCGCTCTCTATCTTCTTCCACACGCAGACTAAACGGTGCCTGTTATCTTGTGCAAGTGGTTTATTTTCCTCTCCGCCTACTTCAGGGACACGATTGCATACCGGAGGCCTCTTTTTTTTTTTCCTTTTTATCTGAACCTGTGTCCTTCAGAAAGGCTTCGCCTCACACCAGACACGCACCGGCTCCTGCTGCGCCACCCGCCAGGAAGCCGTCCAACTGTTTGGGTTTTAACCGCGTCGCTGTCCGGTTTCTAGGTGCGCAAACAGATTAATGACACAGAGACGGCCTCCACAAACACACACATTGGTGATGGATGTTTGGTAGACGCTCACCGAACCGGAAAATGACCTGACGTTGACCCTCACCTAGCGCTTGACCTCCCAGCTCTGAGCTTCAGGTGAATGTGTTTCTTTCTGTTTTCTCGCACGTCTCTTCCCGACAGTCTGTAAACGTAACACGCGTTTTGCCCTCACATATGGCAACGCTCCACCCCCGTCTGTGTGCATGCTTTCTGCAGAGACTTCTGCTTTCTCCATCTACAGTCCTAATAAAAGCCAGCGGAGTGAGGCAGAGGGGATGAACAGAGCGACCGGGAGGAGGAGGAGGAGGAAGAGATACGGCTGCATGAGTTGCTGATTTATGTGATGGAGAGAGATAGGTAGAAAAGTGGAGACACACCACACTGAGCAGCAAACATCATTTTATCATCGCTGCTGAAACTCACATCCCGCTGAATTTAACTTTGTTGTTAGTCTGCAAAGAGACAAAAAAAAAACAAACATCTGAAGATAAATATTTACCTACATGAAAAATGCTCTGACTTTTATCCCTGAAGCTTTTGAAAATGACTTTTCTTAGTCATTTGGTGACACGTTTCAATGTGTGTCTGCATTCAGTTTTTTGTTGTTATTTTTCATTGTGAAATGTGAATCTTTTCATGTTAAAACAAAAATTTGAGAGCCGAGATGAAATAATCAGGTTCATTGAACTCATTTTAACCACCCGATGCAGAGGATTAAACAAAAACATGTTAGAACAAAAAGATTTCCAACAGATTCATACATTTTATCCAGTTTATTTTAATAATGATACAACTTTATGAAGATGTTCTCTATTGAGATAGACTTCATCAAGTTCATTATTTAGCTTTCATACCAATTGATACCAATTTCTGGGTTTATTTACATCTAGCTTGACTTGCTGATTATGAAGAATGTATTTGTTTATTTAAGAATTACATTGTAACAAACATGGAGCATAACTTTACACTCCAAACAAAATTACACTTTCCCACTTAAACGCCTTTAACACACAGACAAATAAGAAAATAATCCAACTTGCAAGTGTTTGACAAAATGATTATTAGTCATAGAGGATCAGAGGAAAACTAGTGCGATGCTGTTTGCTTTTGATGGTTGTGCTAAACATTTGTTAAGCTTTTGTAACAAATGTTTACTTGATCTTTGCTTTGCGTTGCTTACGGCAGCGAACAGAAATCTGCTTATGATTCAGATTTAAGAGCCTTTCAAACCAACTTTTTTAAGCCTTTCTATACGCGTCAATTTCATCAGACTGAATTTCACCAAATGCATGGATAGACGACATCATCTCTGGTTTAAAGCAAATGGAAACAGGAAGATGAAAATCAGAAGAGTCTGGACTGAAACGGATCGTTGTAAAGACAGAACGTCTGACCTGCAAGAGGATTATTTCTCCACCCAAAGAGACATTTTTTTTTCTGCCCTAGCATTAAAATTATTCTAAAGACTATTCATTGTGTGAGAAGTAAGGAGAACGCCTTACGGTGTCTTTCAAAGTTGCTGCTCAGAAGAATGCTTTTTGCCGATTCTCCACAGGATTAAACCAGAGAAAATCCACGTCTTTACAGGGGAAATTTTTGCCTGCTGCTGTATTTTACATTGAAGTCAGATGAAACTGCTGTACAGCGTGTGGGATGTGATGCACAGAATTGCTGCCAAACAGAAGTTGTGTTTGTTTTATCCTGCTGGGAGCACCATATGGGAGGAGCTTCCCGCTGCTCTGAGTTATTGCACATTGGAAACTTTGCAGTAGCTGAAACTTGGCTTTTAATTATCCAGATCCAGTAAAAAAAAGAAAAGAAAAAAAGAAACTGTAACAATCCCCTTTTTGTTTTGTTTTTTAATTTAGACATTCAAAAACTCATGCCTTACTTTACAGAGTCAAGATTACAACAGATATTTGTCGTTTCCAACTTGTCTTCTCGTATCCAGTGGCTTCAGAGGAGGAAAGTGATGGAGGGAAAACAAAGCAAACAACTTACAGCACAATGATTTAAAATGATGATTGATTATTACGGCCGTGGTTTGGTTTGCTAATCAACGTTTTCTGAAGTAAGTCGTGGATGAGTGAAGCAAAGAGAACGGGAAGGAGGAAGCTCTTTAAGGGGATATGAAAACAACATCAACAGAGTCAGACTGCTAAAATAAGCCGTTAGCCGCCGACAGACCAAACATCCTCCAGCACTGATGACATTTTCCCTTTCTGTCGTTCCAGTTCTGTCACTTTTCTGTTTTTTGAACCGCAGAGCAACGGAGGCCAGGCGGATTCAGGCTCTCTGATGTGGGCAGAGAAGCTCACCTTTAAACCTCCTGCTGGCAGGTTTTCAGTCTAAGCCGTCGGAAATTTAGACCGACTTGGAATCCGGCTTGCCGGGCAAGTTTTCACCTTCTGCAGACAGGGACGGATTAGGAAGCAACCGGCTTTGTGAAAGTCCATCAGAAACACAACAACCGTAAAACCACGGCGGGAATAATTTGTATGTTTTTCACTGAAAGGCTCCAAGTTGTCAGATACCCTTAATGTGTTTTTGTTTTGATTTTTCTTTTGCTTTGAATTGATATATTCCTGCTCATTTGAATCTAATATATGTAGCATTTTGAGAAGAAAAATAGTTTCCTTTGGATGTAATCTGAATTTTATTCATTACTGTGTCTTTTTCTTACATTATGTTTCACCAAGGAACTTTGCGTACAAGTCATTTTGCATCTAAAGTGCCAGACTTTTTTTTTTTTTTTTTTTTTTGCGGTTTCTCTGGAAAAGATGAGTTAAAAGGCTTTAAAATAAATTCAGATTTTTACTGCAGCAGAATAACTTCCAACTGAGAAATTTAGAATAATCCACTGTGTGTAATTAGAGTGCAGCACTTAATCTTCCTCAGCATTTCAGGAGCTCGGTGCAAACAGAAAGTGAGATCATGACAGCATTTCTCCAAATCTTGTGTTTTTCACCGGTGCTCCTCCGCTCACGTCGCCCTCCGGACCGAGACGACCGTGGAAGACGTTTTCTGGCTCAAAGACAAAACAACGTGGCTCGTTTTCATCTTAGAGGGAGAATAGATTCAGATCTCGGAGCTCCTGGTATTTCTAGAGGTTCCCAGGGCTCTTTGGAGGGGAAACAGGCCCACAGCATCACGGGTCATTCACTGTACTTAACAGGGCTTCCACTTGTCATGTCTGTTGGCTGCTGGCTCGATCTTAGCCTCATGTTCACACCTTTTATGGTAAGGAAAACCTTAATATAGCTTTTATTACCTGAGAAATAAAAAGTCACAGATTGCTAATTACAAATATTTTTTTGGTGTATTTTTGTTTTCAGTATCTTTAATTTGGCCACAAATGGCCTATTTGAACATGTTTGTCTGTTACTCCTGTACATTGTGTCTCTTTCTGGGATACAAGGGGTATTTCTTGGCTGTCATGCCCTTTGACCTCTTCGCTCCTTCCTTGCAGCTCACTTGCGTGATGTCAATAAACGCAGAAAAGAAAATGGACTTGTCTATGGTGGAGATAAAACAACGTGACAATATAACTGTGTGTCAAATAGCGAGACAGAAAATGCATCATCTTGATGAATATCAAGTTCTGGTCGGTTCTGGAGAACCATTAGAGATTTGTTGTGGAAAAATGATCTGGATAGAGAGAAAGAGTTGGACTGAGGTTAGATTCAGAAGTAACTACAAATGCACAGATGTTTTTTTAAATTTTTTATTCAAGGTCCAGATTTTCCACTTATTCCGATTTCAGATGCTTGTATTTCAGCAAAACTTAAAGCTAAAGTCAACCAGTCAGGCACACGACGTCCTTCAGAGATAAATGAGAAATTATCTTGTGATACAAACACCAAAATCGAGAGATGCGCTGATTAAGCTTTCTGTGGCCGATAAAGTTATTTGTTATTTTCTTTGAGGTCTGATCTGCCGATTCACAATTTCTATTCCAAGAACTCTGGCACATTAAAGAGTAAAAAATATATATATATATACATCCAAATGAAAATAGTAGTAAAAGCCTATTTGGGGTTCAACTGCCAATTTTCTCTTACTCTTTGAGAGCGCCCCTCGGACCACTGCCGCCCTGGGTGGAGAGCCGCATCACCTGTAACCAAAAAATATCAAGTAATAATGACTGATAGTGCAAGCCTGGTAAAACTCAAAAGAGTCCTGTACAGTATAACCTCAAACGTATGAAGTTACTATATACTTCCGGTCTGTACAGTAAGACCTGATTACCTGTGACGCTGCTGCAGCATCTCACAGGTGAGTCTCATTAAATTAAGCGGCTCGCGAGCAGCTAACTGTAGCATATTTCCTGAGCGGGCGTTTTCTTTATTAGGAGAAATTTGATTACTTAAAAAAGAAAAAAAAAAAGATGTAGTTCTGGTCTCCTCCTCCTCCTTATTTACCACTTTCCCTCGTGTCTCTCTGTCGTGGTGGATAGACTGAGGACAGCTGTGGAGGGAAGCCCCACGCCAGAGCAAAGTTGTTTCTCTCCACTCCCTCCAGTGTCTGCAGCTCGCAGCTTCTCGCTCTTGTTTGCGTGAAAAAAGTTTTTTGGCGAGCCGCTGTCTCCTCCTTCAATTCTCCGGGAAGTGCTTTGGTTAAAAAAAATTAAAAAAAAACTTTGCGAGGAACTCTCACTTCGCTTCCCCCACCTGTTGCTGGAAGGGACGGAGCAGCGAGAACAGCGACTCTAAACTTGGGGACTGACCCGGACCGGGGTTCCACGGTCCGCGCTCCTCCAGCAGCAGCAGCAGCCGCCCGGACGCCCCGCACCGCACCGCCTCATAAAAACGGCCGCTTTTGTGACCAAGAGCAGGACTTTAGACATCGAGGAGGGAAAGGAAAGGAAGGAAGGGAGGAAGGGGTCCAGAAAGTGACACTTGAAGGAATCTGTGCGCGTCTCGTAAAAAAAAAAAAAAAGCGCTGCCTGTGAAGTTTCCAACCGGACAGACAGACAGACTTCAACACCTCGGATGGTGGAAGGAGATTTTTAATTTTTTTCCCCAAGCAGACTTGAGCAGCAATTCTACTCCAAAGAAGAAGAAGAGAAGGTAGAAACTTTTGGTCTTCTTTTTTATGTTTAATTTCCTTTTTTTTTCCTTCACACTTTTCCTGTTGGTTCTAAAGTTGATTGTCTTGAGACCAGGGGCGAGTCTAGAGAAGTTTCAAACGGGCAGCCAAGTATTGGGGGCGCTGGGGGGGACTGCTGGGCTTCTGAATGACAAAAAAACAACAAAAAACAGCCTTTGCCCCTGAGATTCAGGGACACTCAGTGATTTATTTATTTATTTTAAAGTTGCCCACCACCCAGGGCATTATCGTTTTAAGGGGCGGTACAAGCACTGGGTTCACCACACTGACCTTCTGAAATAAGCTCTCGCAGCCAATTGGAGCTGCTTTTCTTCAGTTTCTTACATTTTGCCCGAATTAAAGTTTAAAGACACAAATGTAGGACATGTCATTCCCAAGTTAGCATACGGACTACATTGGGATGCAGTGTTTGCAACCTGCCGTCTTATTTCCATCTGTTCAGTCATCCTCTGTTCTTTCCAGAGGTGAATTTCTAAAACTAAAATTTTGACTAGAAACTGCTGACACTAGGTGGCTACTTGTTGCTTGTCTTCATTGTTTTTGACATTTTTTTTTTGTGGTTTGAGCTGACAAAGTAAACTCTCACGTACTGACGGCAACATACCAGCAGAATTGATCTGAAATTCTGAATAAAAATCACCCCTGCAGCTTCCTCAGCTTCCCTCTGCTGAAGCTGAACTCGGTCCAATCTGCTACTTTTGTTGAGAGCGTGACCTTTCAAAGTGTTTAGTTTCTTTTGTCCTTTCTGTACTAGTTGTGTACCGTTTGTGGACACTCTGTAGTTGCAAATGTATTTTTATTGCCAAGTAGCTCACAATAACCCAAGAAAAAAAAATATATATATATATATATATAATTTTTGCAGATTGTAGTGGTTGGTGCCTTGATTCTATAAGGTTGAGGTTTTGGTTCTAATTGTTAAATTAGGAGCTGTATATGAGGTAGTGGTGCTATGATTCAAGTCAAATGAGGAGGATGCGTGTGATCATTTTTTTTAAAACATCGAAGAATAAAGTTAGTCTGATGTAGCAAAAGATGCACAAGTTTACAACATTACTAATTAGTAGACTTGTCAACTTGGAGAAACCTTTTTTGGGGGGAAAAAAAAAAGTTGGTGGCTTAAGATGTCACTTGGAGAAGAAATCTTTACTGAGCTCGTTAAGCACGTGAAGTAATTAATGGTCAAAGTTGTCTTCCTTTTTCTAAATCCACAAACGTATGTAAGAATGCCTGCCGGCCCACTGGGGGCCCCGCTTGGTGGCACCAGCGGCTCAGAGTTCAACAAGTTAAACTCTGTTGGAGTTTTTCAATGTAAATGATGGGTTTGAACTTGAGCACCGACTGCATGAGTTATTCAACATGCAGTCAAGGTGAAAAAGGCTTCTGACGTTATTTTATCTGAATTTATAGAAATTTATGTCCAACCCTAATGTTTTCATTGTCACGGTCTCATTCCATATGACTTTGGCTATCCTTGACAGTGGTGAAAGGCAGCCTATCTGCTTGCTTGCGTGCATGTGTGTGTGTGTGTGTGTGTCTACCAACCCCATCAACCTAAATGAAGGCAGCTCTCCCGCTCTGCGGTGCAGACCAGGACTATTTTGGTCGAAATCTTGCACAAATGTTTCTCTCAGTATAGAGAAATTGCTCTGCCTTCATCTGGGCCGTGCAGGGACTTGTTTGAAATCCAAGTCTGACTAACTGCAGCTCTGAGGGAACTCTGGACCGAGTTCACCATTCTGACAGCTATCATAAAACACACAAGTGTCTGCAGTGACTCACTTTGTGTGAAAAGCTTTCATATAACAAATGATATAACGCGTTGATTTACTGCTACACATATGCATTTGTGATATATAAGTGTATATAGTACTTTAGCAGCTGTAGATGAGCGAGAGACACTGAACATGGCTGGGAACCAGAGTGAAGTGTCAATATTTTCTAAGATTTTTTTTTAAACTTAAACAACCCCTGACAATTTTTGTACGAAAAGTTTGATCAAAATTTTCAAACAAAGACATCGGTAATACAGCAAAAATTATATATATTTTTCTCTTTCTAATCAAAATTGGCCACTTATAATTTTGTATTTGTGGATATGGATTTTATGCTCACTTTTGCCCCAAATCCTTTTCACTCAAAGTTTTTATGAACCATCTAAACATAAGAAGTCGGTTGTAAAAGAAGATAATTGAATGTCAGAACGATCAAAGCTTCTCTGTCATACATTCTGCTCATGCTATCAACAAATAGTTTATTTTGAATGGTGAAATTGCTCTGTGCGAGTATACAGATGAGCAGCAAATACATTTTATCGGATGGAATTTGTTCAACAATCTTGTTTTATATGTCGGGAATCACTGAGACGGATTAATGCAAAATGCAGCAAAAAAAGCAGCAATATTTTCCCCCCCATATGCCTGAAGCTTGTAAAACCGAAGCGTCCGATTTGTTTTCAGCAGGCGTCGATTGCAAAAGGACCCGAGAGGAAGTCGGGGTCGTCTCCGGCGGTGACGTCTCCAGTCGTCCTCGTGGATTTCAGGGTTCGGAGTCTGATATCTTCATAAATCCCTGAGCCAGTTGACAACAGGGCTGATAAACCCTGCAAAAAGGAGAGGAAGTACACGTCTGTGGATGTGTTGTGTGCTGGGGCCCACTGTAACGTTGTGTGCCGAGAGTGCAGATAGGGGTGGCGAAAAGTGTTGCTGTCAACAAGTTAGCCATTAGAGAGAGATAATCTCTCCTCAGTCCACGTCCAGGCCAACGTCTGCTCCTCCTCCCGTCTTTTCATGGTGCATTTTTATTTATCCTGTTTGGGATTTCTTTTACATAGTTCAAGATAAATGCGTTGGTCTCCTGGCCCGTTCAGCAGGAGGCAATAAAAACCTGCCCTTCTGTTCGACTTTCAACCTTGACGTCTTTTCCTCAAGTGAAGCTACCTGAGTGTCTCGTCCCCACAGGACGCCATATTTAAGGAATGTCAGCTCGTCCGTTTGTCTCCTGTCCATACGTTTGAGAAGATGGCCTTCCTCAAGGTTACGCTGTGGTGCGTTTGTGTTGGAATTTTTATGTTTTTTCACATAAAAGCCCCTCAGGAAACGGGGGATGTGTCGGGCATGTATGTGTCTGTTCGCTCCTCTGACCTCTAATGACCAGGTTGGACTCCCAGATGGTGGTCTGTGTGAAGAGGATGGTCTCTTCAGATGAAGAGCAGGTATTTAAAATTCTTTAATCTGATTGGCTGGCTGCATCCTAGAAATTGCTCTCAGTGCAGGCTTACAAGTGCTTATCCATTGTGGATAAATCTTACTTGCCGGAGAAGGAAATCTTGTGCACTTTTTGATGATCACAATGCTGTTATTTCATTATCTTTTCTATGTATTTATTATTCATCAAACTTGGTATAGATGACGAGGTGAAGACTGGTGGAAAATACAGTCTAGATGAGGTAAATACCTTTAGAAATAATCAGAACTTCTGCGTAATGATAGATGCAGGTATAGTCCATAAATCCTTAGTAAAACAGTAATAAAACAGGAACATCCAACCCACATGCTTCTCCTGCAGGGACCCCGAACCTTCAGCTGTTCTTCACGTCTGTCTTTCTGCTTCTCATTTGTCCTTGAAGCTGAGTGTTCCCCATTATGATATTTAATAGATTTTGTATCTGATTTTTAGATTTATTGATCCATTTTCCTTTCTGAGAGAAAAAAAAATGTCTCCATTAAAAAAATTTGAGGTTGTAAAAATTACTTTATTACACAGGGCCTTGTAAAAAGCATTCAAACTATTTTATACTTTGTCACATTACATGATGATTTATGTGGAACTGTGATGATTTCACAAAAAGACAAAAAAGATGAGGCTGAAAAAATGTGCTGTACAAAATTATCTTCTAATATCCGTAAAATCTGTCACTAACCAGAGAAAAGGTTGATGGTAACTCTGAAGGAGCAACAGAGACGCAGCTGCATTTGGTGAAAAGGACAGCGATTAGTCATACACTCCACATATTTAGTCTTCATGGCAGAGTGTCATTAAGTAATTGCTGAGAGAAAGCCATAACAAGATTTGTTTCCAGTTTGCTTTAAGCTATGGAGAGGACACAGCAAACACGTGGAAGAAAATGCTCTAGTCTGATTTACTAAAATGTAGAGGAAACCTAACCTTGCATGTGACCCTGACCGCACCATCCCTACTAAATCAGAGTTCAAATTCAAACTAGCGTAGTTTTCGTGGACAAGCAAAGATATTTGGGAAAAACAGCAAACTGCGAATGCCAAATAAAACAGGATCGTCTTGACCTAGATTTAAAGTTTTTGGTTTTAATGTAGCAAAAAACGATTTGGCGAGTGTCAAGAAGTGCACTCTAGCACGGTTGGCTGCTTTGTTTCACATATATTTTTGTCAGGTTTGAAACAAAACGCACAGTCAGCAAAATGAATCGCAACAAGCTAAAACCTCGGGATAAAACGTCTCGTGCTTCTCGTGCATTTTTGTTGCTTTTCCTCTAAACAACCGACTTATAGATGAGAACGGAACCACAACAGCAGCGCCGTAGGACCATAAACGACCCAACTCTGAATAAATAAAAAGTAGAGAGGTTTCGGTATCCTAGCATTTTCCATTCGAGGAGGAACTCTGGCTACAATTTAACTTGGAGCACAAACATACAGCTGTGTCATTTCCATAAACATTGGGTGTTTTGCAGATGGTAATTGTTTGTCCTTTCCTCCTCCTTAGAATCATTAAAATATCTCTGCTGCGCTCTGTTGCAATATAAAATAAGCTGATGCCTGAACTCAGAAGCATCAGTCTGCCGTGAGTCTCTGTGTGTGCTGACAGTACACTGTGGTCATGTGGTCATCATTATGGTCAAACTCAGTGTATTTCTGCATGTATCTGCGTGCTCAGATTCTGACTGCTTGACCACCAAGCATGTGTTTGTCAGCGTGTGTGT